GGGGACTTCAGTGGCCAAGGCCAGGCGGGCGGGGGGGGGGGGCATCTCCGTTCCCAACTGGCAGCCTCCTTCACCCCCGCTGGGGGGGGGGGCTGAGCTGAGAAGTCCTCACAGGGGGCCGTCTCGGCTGCCACGTTGGCCGGAGAGGATACGTGGCTGTCCTTCCTCGGAGCTTTCCCAGCCGCCTGGGGTGGCCCTGAGCGCAGCCCTAGAGCGCCTCTCCGCTGGGGCAGGCTCAGGCTGGCACGGGCCCTTACATCGGGAGGGAAGCAGGGAGTATCTCGAGGAAGGGCGACCTAACAACGGTGGCAGCAACCGGGCAGTAAGAGAAAGAGGCCAGGGCTGCATGGGTGAGGCACACGGAAGGCCATCCAAACACCCTGCCTTGGGCACGAAGCCACCTGGGCACCTTGGTCCAGGGCCCCCTTCCCCTCCCGCAGTCAGAAGATGCCCAGGAAACTGCAGGGCTTGGGCAGGCAGGGAGGCCGATGGGCAGACGCACAACTTGTGTCTTTCTGCTTGGGGGGCCGAGATAAAAACTCTGCGGGTGGGAGGGAGGAAGAGGGGGCAGAGTCTGCGTGGCCCCCGGGGTCCCTTTGCGGGCTCCTTATGCGGCCTTTCGCGTGGAGACCCAGTTGGGCAGCCTTCTCCCGAGGCCAGGGCTGCCGAAGGGGCACCAGGCGGGCAGGGCTGGGGCTCAGTGCGCCTGTCCCTCCGCTTCCGTGGCTGCCACATTGGCCGGCGTTTGAGTTGCCGTTTTTTTGTGGCCGGACCGAGCCCTCCGCCCGCCCCCCCCTCCAGTACTAGGCAAGGGGTGGAGCTTCCCTTCCGACCCCGCCTCTTCTGCTCCCTCCTCCTTTGGGGAGGGAAAATGGGGGGGGGTCTCTTGGCTGATGGAGGAGCTGAGAATATCCAGTTCTTAACCCGAACTGAAGGAAGACCCCCCCCCCAAAGTGGCTGAGAATCCTCCCATCTCCAGGCAAGGAGGGGGACCCGGCTGAGGCTGTGGGGGTCCCTGCCCCACCTGGAGGTTCCCCTCCGTCCTCCCATCTTAGAGTTAGCGGTGTCTGTACTGAGGAAGATGGCGGCCTATGAAGTAAGAGATCTGCTGACAAAACGGACCAATGCCTGACTGACAAAGCAGCTCCCCCTTCTCGCCTCCCCTCTGGTCCACGGACCCCACGAGAAAGAGGGGGGGAAGAGGAGGGGGAGGGGCAAGCCCCCTCCCCCCCATGGCCCCAAGTCAGCAGCCTCCTCCCGGCCCGTCCGTTGCCAAGGAAGTGGGGGGAGCATCCCTCCTGCCCCAGAGTGGGGGGCCTGTAGCTGTTGCTGTGCGTCCCGCCTGTGGGAGAGCAGGAGCTGCAGCCATTGACTCCTCCATTGCAGCACAAACAGAGCCTGCGTTGGAGGCACACAAGGCCTGGCCTGGAATTGCAGCCGAGGGCGCCCCTCCCTCTGGAACGCTCCGGCCCCCCCCCGTGGGTGGCAGCGGAGGGGAGCATCCCGCTTGGAGCCTGGCCCAAGGAGCCCAGGTGGCCAGGGAAGGGGCAGCCGCTTCCCTCCTTGCCTGCCCTCCCCTTCCCGCCCCCCTGGAGCTGCTCTCCTGCCCTGCATAAAGGCCCTCCCCTTCCCCCTCCCTGCCTCCCTCCTGCCCCAACCTTTCAGGGGGGTTTTAAGGAAGGCACCCGCCCGCTCGGCATTCCCAGGGTGAGGCAGGCCAGGCGCTGCCAGGGGGCAGCTCCCGCCTAGATCTGTGGGGGCTTGCGGCAGTGGCCTCCTTGCCCAGCCTGAGGGCCTGTGAGAGTCCAGCCCTCCCACTCTCCCTCCCGCAGGGTCCCTGCCAAGGGGTCTCGAGCAGCCGGGAGCTGGCAGTGCCTGGCCTCGGGAGGGTGCCGGGAGTTGGGCTCTCCCTGGGTCTTGGCACTCAGTAAGGCCCCCGGGCAGCAAGAGGACATCTTTGCCCTCGGGGGGGGGTCCCCCCCCCCCCGGTGCCTGCTTGCTCCTGGGCAGGGAGGTCTCCCCCACTCCCAGCAGTGGAACGAAGCCCCAGCATGGCCGCCCCCCCCCGCCCTCCTCGGAGTGGGCAGTGGATCCCTGGCCCTGCCCGCTGCCAAGGCCCAGGCTGCCTTCACACAGCAAGGCCCCAGCGCTCGGTGGCAGCCCAGGTGGGCCCAAGTCAGCCACCCACATTCTGCAGTCCTGGCTCTGGTGTCTCGCAAGCCCCCTCCCATCCTCCGAGCGGTACGGAAGACCCAGGCCCTTCGTGGGGCTCCAGCTTAGGAAAGGGGGGGCTGGAGGGGGGCCTGGCCAGCCCTACTCTGAGAGGCAGGGGACCCCTGCGAGGATAGGGGGGAGGGCTGAGGGCTGGGGGGGTTGCCCTGTCCAGAGCAGAGTTGGGGGCATCATCGGTACGGGCCGAACACTGACAACCCCGCCCCCCCAGCCTTGCCTGGGCTCCTGGTCCGAGGAGCAGCGGAGGGTTCTCCGGCCTCTCCACTCCTATCGGCCACAGGCCCCCATGAGGGAGCGGGTCCTCCTGCCCCACAGCTTGGCCCAGGGCCCACGGAGGCCGGGCCCCTGTTCCCCAGCTCAACCTTCCCCTTTTTGCAGCTGGACCCCGAGGCCAGCGACTCCCTGAAGGAGCTGCAGGTGAAGCTGAACAACGTGCTGGACGAGCTCAGCACCACCTTTGGAAACAGGTGGGGACCACCACCCCCGAAGCCCCTCCCTCCGCCTGAAGGGAAGCAGGGCCCCGACAGGAGAACTCGGGGAGCGATCTGCCCTTGGCGCTCGGAGCACAAAGGACACTAGGTTCCTGAGGGTCGGATTTTGTCACCGGCTGAGCAGGAGGAGGGAGATGAAGGGGTCCCTGCGGGTTTCACCCCGCCAGTTGTGACCGGCTCTAGGCGGTGGCGCTCGTCTCCTTTTCGTAAGCCAGAGGCCCAGCATTGGCATGTGGCCGACTTGGCATCCGGCCGCAGTGTAGAGCTTGGAGTGAAACACGGAACACATCTGCCTTCCTGTGCGCTTCGAGGCAGCGCCTGCATTGATCTCCCTGCCTGTCGGGGCTTCGAGCTGCCCAGTGAGGGTAGCTCCCTCCCTCCTGCAGCACCTGGTCTCAAACGGTCGATCTGTAGGCCTGTAACGGCCTCGGATTCAGTGTCTTGGCCACTGAGCCACCGCGAGTGATCGGCCGGGGTTCCACCGAGGGTGGGGGGCTGGGAGCGGGAAAGCTCCATCCGAAGGGATGTTCTCCCCCCACAAGACTCAGGCGGGGGTCGAGGGGGGGGGTTATTGCAAGCTGTCCAAGGCTCCGTCCTGGAGTCTGGCCCAGAACGAAGGCAATTGCCCCCCAGGGGCTCTTCTGGCCTCGTGGTCTCCCGAGCCTCGGCCTGGCAGAAGACTCAGCCCCCTAGGAGGAGGGGGGGCCACGGGGAGAGCCCGTCCTGTCCTGGGGAGACGGGCCCGGCCCAAAGCCGCCCTGGGAGGGAGTGACGTTGCCCTCTGGTGCTCAGCTTCCAGCCCCGCATCGAGGAGTGCGTGAAGCAGATGTCGGAGATCCTGGGCCAGGTGAAGGGGAACAGCGGCTCCAACACCGCAGCCCAAGACGCGGACAACGTCCTGAGGCCCCTGATGGACTTCCTGGACGGAAAGTAAGGACCTGGGCGAGCGCCTCTTCCCCAGGGGCCCCTCCGTGGGGGCTCCAGGGCCGCTCGGCCAGCAGGTGGGGCCCTCGGGAGGCAGGTTGTCTGGGAGGCTCTTGAAGATCCGCAGTCCCCCCCCTCCCCCCATGGTAGCCTCTGGGGAGGGAGGAGGGAGCAGCCCACGTGGCCTCCCACGCTTTCTCTGAGGGGAGGGGGCCTGGTGGGGGGCCAGACGGAAGGGAGGGCCCCCAAGCAGTGCAGGCGGTGGGAGAGTCTCTGCACCCTGAGCACGGGGCTCCCGGCTGGCCCGGGGGGCCTCAAGGGCCCCTCCCCAACCACAGAGTTTAGGGGGCCGGGAGGGTGATTCTCCTCAGCCCCACTCTCGGCTGGCATCTGTTGGAGGGCCCGGCAGCTTCTGGGGTTCTTCTGAGGCAACTTTAGCTCTGCCCCCCCCCCAACTCTTCCCTCCTCCAGGGAGACCTGGAGGGTCTGTTGGGCCCCTCGCGGGGCCCTCCTTTGAAGGGCCAAAGGCCCCGCTGGACCCCCGTGGGACCCCTGCCCACCCCCACCAGCCACCGTGGCCCATTTGCAGAGGCTCTCTGTGTGGCCCGACGACCTTCAGCGCATCACAGGCATCAGGGGTCCCCCGAGGGCATCCGGTCCAGCCCCTGCTTAGGGCCGAGGCCAGATTAAGGCTTTCGAGAGTGACAGCTCACCCCTCGCCCCCCCCCCCTTTCTCCCCACAGCCTGACCCTCTTTGCCAACGTCTGTGAGAAGACGGTGCTGAAGCGGCTGCTGAAGGATCTCTGGCGGGTTGTGATGGACACCCTGGAGAGGCTGGTTGTGCTGCCCCCCCTCACGGACCACACGGTGAGCGTCCCCCCCCCTCCCCTTCCTCCCAGACCAGGCCGGGCTTGCCCATGGGGGAGGGGCTGTGGGGCCAGAGAGGGGTGGGAATGGGGGGGGCATCCGGAAGCCCCCCTGCAAAGCCGCTTTTCCCCAATCGGTGTTTTTCTGAGCTTCGGAAAGATTGCGGACAGCACTGCGCCTGCAGTAGAGCAGCCGTAGGACGCGGACAAGAATGGCGTGTTTTGAAGAAGAAAATAGTCAATTATACGGTGAAAAAGATCCAGGGGGAAAACCCGGCACTCAACCAAGGGAAAAGAAAAGTGCAATATATATATATATGTATGTGTGTATATATGTATATATATATATATATGTATACACACACACACACACACACACACACATATGTATGTATGGTATTCAGCTTTGTTCGGGTATTTTCCCACGTCATAGTAGTGGTGCTTTTAAAGTTGTAGCGACGTTTCGGCAGAATCTCATCTGCCATCATCAGGCTTCTGTATTGTGTTCGTTTGTTGGGTATATAATTCAGAATCTCATTTGCATTCTCACGAACACGATACAGAAGCTTGATGATGGCAGATGAGATTCTGCTGAAACGTTGCTACAACTTTAAAAGCACCACTACTATGACGTGGGAAAATACCCGAACAAAGCTGAATACCATACACGTAAGTACCCGCCAAAAATTAAGAAAACAAATATATATATATAAACACACACACACACACACACACGTATGGTTCGTCTGTGAGTCAGACTTTCACAGCCGTTTCTATTCTGTGAAAGTCTGACTCACAGACGAACACAATACAGAAGCCTGATGATGGCAGATGAGATTCTGCCGAAACGTTGCACATATATATATATTCAGCTATCCATATATCCATATATCCATGTGTTCGTCTGTTGAGGTCACATAGTATTCCTGCTCTTTTAACTTCCAGCTTCTCATAGGTTTTGGTCTGGCTGTTTTATTTCCTCCCCGTAGAGGTCTGATATTTGTTTTCTTAAGTTTTTGCGGGTACTTACATGTATGGTAAGTAAGACGAACACAATACAGAAGCCTGATGATGGCAGATGAGATTCTGCCGAAACGTTGCTACAACTTTAAAAGCACCACTACTATGACGTGGGAAAATTCCCGAACAAAGCTGAATACCATACATGTAAGTAACCGCCAAAAATTAAGAAAACAAATATATATATTTGTGTGTGTATACACACACACACACACACACACACACACACACACACACACATCAGAGGTGGTATTCAGCCGCTTCTGACCAGTTCTGGAGAACCAGTAGCAGAAATTTTGAGTGGTTTGGAGAACCGGCCAATCCCGCCTCTGACTGGAGATTCTGCAGTCTCCTTCCCCTGCCCGCCCACCAAGCCACGCCCACAGAACCGGGAGTAAAACATATTGAATCCCACCACTGATATACACACACACACACACACACACACACATATAAACTAAAAATTAGAAGCCTAAACCGCTCCAGGGAGCTCTGGCCTTCCCCTCCTCCTGTTACACATCTGTGGGAAACGCCTTTTCTTAAAGCCGGGATCTTGGCCCAAACTCTGGTTCTTCCTTCAGGGTCTTCGTTTCGTTTCCACTTTTGAGCCACGAATGAATCGCTGGGCCTGATATGCGGCCAGGAGGCCTGGGGGGGGGGGGGGCCCCCCCGGGGGGAGTTGGGGGGGGGGGGGGGGGGGCGGCCCCCGGCGTGGGGGGGTCCCGGGGGGCGTCGGGGGCGCGGGGGCGCGGCGGGGGGGGGGGGGGGGGGGGGGACGGGGACACCGGCTGAGGGCTGCTGTTGGCCAAGGCAGAAACGCCGCGTTTCTCTCAAGTTTTTAATCTCTTCCGTCTTCCTCCTCGTCCTCGTCCTCGTCCTCCTCCTGCCAGGGCACCCAGCTGATCTTCAGTGCGGCTAAAGAACTGGGCCATTTATCCAAGCTGAAGGTATTGGGGGGAGCAGCCCCCTCCCCGTGTCTTCCGCCTTGCAGCAGAGCCTCGTGTTGCATGTCCCCCCCCCCGTGACCCCTCCCCATGCTCTCCAAACTCTCTTTGGCTCCAGCATCCTCCCAGCCCCGCGCGCGGCCCCTGCGCCGCCCCCGTGCGGGGGGGGGGGGGGGGGGCTTGAGGGGGCTTGGCAGGCAAAAGGGGGCCTGGGGGAACCGGGGGCGGGTCAAGCTCTTCTGCAAGGACTCCCAGAGGGGGAGGGTCAGGGTGGCAGGGCCCGGGGCGGGGTGGGGGCCTCCCTGGGCTCCCACTGGCTCCCAGGCGCTTCAGAAGGCTCGGGGGACACGCAATGGAACCCAGCAGGGCTGCCCCTTCCGGAGAGGCTGGCTTGGCCAGGAGTGGCCGCCCGCTGGGATCCCTTGCAAGAGGGAAGGGGAAGCAGGGAACCGGGGGGGGGGGGGGAGGCCAGGTGGGGGGGGGTGGCTAGACTCCTCTGGACTGGAGAATCCCACTGGTGCGGCCTTTGCTGGAGGCAGCCGGCAGTTTTGGGGCCGTCATCAGTGGAGGCCCAGGCCGCGTCCAGGGAAACTGAGGCACGGGTGGGCGGTGCCCTCTGGGGTGTCCTGGGCTCCCACTAGGGGTGGCCCTCGGGAGCATCAGCGATGGGTGGCAGGGCGTGTTTCCCCAAGGGCTGCGCTCTCATTGTGCCCGGGGGAGGGGCTGTAGAAGAAGACCCCCCCCCCCCCCCCCCCGCTCCCGCCCCCCCCCCCCCCCCCTCCCCTTCTGCGCTTCCCCTGGCCCCAAAGACCCCCCCCCCGGGGCAGGCGCCCCCCCCATCCCCGCTGACCCTGCGGTGGGCTTCCCTTTCAGGATCACATGGTCCGGGAGGAAACGCGGAACCTGAGCCCCAAGCAGTGCGACGTGCTGGAACTGGCGCTGGAAACCATTAAAGTGAGTCTCTTCCCTCGCTCGGCCAGCGGGCGAAGCCCCCAGCACCAGGCGGGGAGGAGGGGGCACCGGAGGGAGGCAGGGAGGGAGGGGCAGCCTTGAGTTTAGGGCACGTGGCCAAAGACCGGCCCAACTCAGGCCAGGCGCTCCCGGCCTTCCTGTTAAAAAGGCTGCGTTGGAATCCCTGTCGGAATGGAAGGAATCCCTCAGAATGACAACAACAACCATCATCCTCATCCTCCCCATCCCTGCCTGGTCCGAAGGCTGCAGAGTCGCCTTGGCTCTTGCCAGGAGGAAGGGGGGCTAGAAGGGGAAGGCTCTGCCGACCGAGGGAAGCCTGGATTCACACAGATGGGGGGTCAGCAGCAGTGGGGTGGGGGGGGAGGAGGTGACCCCCTTTGCACCCCCCCCCCCCCCCCCCCCCCAGCAATACTTCCACGCAGGGGGCAACGGGCTGAAGAAGGCCTTCCTGGAGAAGAGCTCGGAGCTGCAGTCCCTGCGCTATGCGCTCTCGCTCTACACCCAGACCACCGACACCCTCATCAAGACCTTCGTCCAGACCCAGACAGCACAAGGTGTGGGGGGCAGGGGGGTCCCCCCACCTGGGAACAGCCTCCCGTGTGGGCCACACTCAGCTGGGCCCCCAGGCGTCTTTCGGAGGCAGAGGCTGGGCTGCAGTGGGGTGGGGGGGCTCCAAGAGGACGAGCCCCCGCCTTGCTCTGCAGCGGCTGGAACGGCAGCAGACACCCTGGAGTCGCAGCGGAGATCCGCCTGGAGCCCCTCCCTCCTGGTCAGGTCCCTGCGGCCCGTCTTCTGCAGCGTCCCAGGCGAAGGGGCTCCATTCAAGGCAGGCGGGGTGGGCCTCCCCCCTCCCTGCCTCTGGGGGCCTCCCCTCCCAGGGGGCCCGGTGGGAACCTGGCTTCAGGGTGCAGGAGGCAGGGAACCCGGGTCTTCAAAGCAGCACACCAGAGACATGAGGAATGTCCTGGGGGGGGGGAGGCCCTGCACGGAGACCCACGCCCCTCCCTCAGGCAGGGGCAGCCTCTGCTCATCATCCCCAAGCGCCTCTTCAGGGCGGAGCCTCCGGGAGGGGCAGACCACCCCGCACCCCGTGGCAGGCATGCCAATTGCCGCCTCTCCCCTCCCCCTCCTCAGGCTCCGGAGCGGAGGGCCCCGTGGGTGAAGTCTCCATCCAGGTGGACCTCTACACCCACCCAGGCAGCGGGGAGCACAAGGTCACCGTGAAAGGTAACCAGCTGGCATCTCGGCCTCCTTGCCCACCAGGAAGGATAAGTGGGGGGCAGGGGGAGCTCAGTGTGGGGGCCAGGAGGGGGAGGCCTCACCCGCTCCCTTTGTCCACGCAGTGGTGGCTGCCAATGACCTGAAGTGGCAGACCACGGGCATGTTCCGTCCCTTCGTGGAGGTCACCATGATTGGGCCACACCAGAGCGACAAGAAGCGGAAATTCACCACCAAGTCCAAGAGCAACAACTGGGCTCCCAAGTACAACGAGACCTTCCACTTGTAAGTGCCCCGGCGGGGGTGGCTCTGCTGCCTGGCGGCACTCTTCCCCCTCCGTGGGGTGCCCCCCCCCCCCCCGTGCCCTGTCCTGGCCCCTCATCCAGCGCCCTGACGCTCCTTCCCAGGCAGGCAGCCATGCGCGTCTCCTCCGCACACCCAGCCCGGCTCCCTCCTTTCGGTCTCCTGGGCAGGAGCAGCTTCTCCTCCTGCAGCCACATTAAAGGGAGCGGCAGCCCCCCCCCCCCCCCCCCAGGGCCGGGGGGCGCCCCCCCCGGGGGCAAGGGCCCCCCCCCCCCCGCTGCCGCCCGGCTG